CCTGATCCGTGCGTGGGAAGCACTCACCCCCCAGTTCCCACGCAGCCGCACTCACCCCCAGGTGAGTAAAAATAAATGTGTATACCCTGCGGACGAGTATACACTGCAGACAAGGGGGGAGGGCGGGAGAGCGCGGGTCAGGGTTTGTAAAAATGTATATAACCCATGGGTTATATGCACTAATTTACAGTATATATGCAGATTACTGGACAGCAATCTTAGGTTGTACTCAAAGTGTGAAATCACTGTACTCTGACCAAAATTAGTGGAGAAGTGCAAAAGCACAATAGATATCCTTGTGACATCTGCCATTTCAATATTCCTTTGCCAAGACTGAAAATTTGTTCTTCCTCTAGAAACCACTCCAACTTTAAACAAAAATTTAAAAAAAAAAAACAAAAAAACACACAACTTGCCTCATATGCCAAAATCATTTTCATGGGGGGATGTTTCCTTCCATATTCTCTTTCCACAAAAGGAAATTGAAAGCCTCTGTCTAGAAGTCTTCTTTCCTGCTCTTCTCGTGTGGCAGTTAGTGGTGGTCTCCCTACAGGCTTTCCTGTGCTCTTGTACCTCTTTTTTCGTTTACCTCTTTGATGTGCTTGTGTTTTATACTCTCTCCTCTCATGACAGTCAAAACTTGCTTTCAAATTGAGTGCAGGACTTGGTTGCTCTGGGGATGTAGCCAATTTACTCTGAGACCTAGGATCTAGAGAGGAGACAACTGAAATGTCTGCTTGTAGCGTATTTGCTGGAGACTTTACCAAATGCCTTGTTGCACTTTGAGTTGTGTTACATTCCAGCTGGAACAAGCTGCTCGTAGAATCAGAAAGAGCACTATAATAATAATAATAAAAAAGAGTAAATGGTTAACTTTTTTGAAGGCACAGTTAATGTTTTGATTAATTTCACACACATTGTTTAATACTGGGAGAATATTGTAGTCAAAGTTAACTTCTAGTACCATGATAAGAGTTCACAGTGAGCAGGTTTTTTAAAAAAGTAATCAAGCAGGACTTGGTTACTTCACTAATGCATGCATTAGAAATCCATAATGCACGAGATCAGTAAGCATGCCTCTAAATTTCAGGTGAAACCACAAGGCAGCACGGCAGAAAAGTGGCTACAAATGATACACGATTCCTTATTGAAAAATTCACTGAGTTCTATTCTCAAAAGTGTAGTAGATAAAAACTACAAATATTCAGAAAGCTGGGACTGAACAGGAGGGATCATTTCATAACTGTCCTGTTCTGCTTATTCCCTCTGACACATCTGGTGTGGTCCACTGAGTCCAGTATGGCCACCCATATGTTCATATTCATAAAGAATATGAAAAGATGTCAAAGATCTAGATGTGCATGAAGCCTCCCTGCCACCGAGAGGCAGGAAAATGTAATACGGATGGAAAACTTAAGTACAAAGAGCGGGTCCAACTTGGCTAGGGTCACATAAGAAATCCTTCCTTGGAAAGCCTGTATACTACATTTCACTTCATACTGATTGGAAATTGCATTACCAACTTGCTGTAATTCATGCCTACTTGAAATGGAAGCCAAGCTGTTTGCTAACTCTAGCACTGAGGTTCTCAAATGTTAGTGAGCCACCTTAAGATAAGGGGGAAAATAACCACAACTGCACTTCCCTATTGGTGCACAGGCAAAAAGCAAATTCCCCACTTCCAGCCAGCTTCAGGGATCCCATATATTACTTGCTCCCTAGCATACCAAGCCGTTTCCAGAGACAAGGTAGCATCAAGAGTCTGTGCAGATATGAGCCTGCTTTTGTGACTTGTGAAATTAGTTGGCCACAGTCCCGTTCCAAAGCCCAGGAGAGGTGGGGGGAAGAGGGGTAGAGAGAGGGGCGGGCATGAAGAATGTGTCCCATTAAGGGAATTGTGTTCTTGGATGGCACCTACATGCCACAATGGATGGAGACGTGTGGGGCTTTTATACACAAAAAGAGAGTGCACAGGGCACTGTTGGGAGTGGATGGGACAGCAGTGCAGCTGAATGCCAACCTGGAGCAATGTGCCATTTGTTTGTGCACAGACATTCTCCCCAGTGTAAGGGTTCCCTGGACACTAGATACATGCTGCCAGTATCCAACTGACCATGCATTACAACTGCCTAGAGCCTCTGTGCCACAAGTGGAATGTAGGGTGGGAGCTGTGGTCCAACCTAAGCAGCCAAGATACTATTACCATCCCTGACTCCCTATGTATTAAGCTACCCTAGCCCAGAAAGCCATCTTGGTTACAACAATCTTGAGGCCCACTCATGCAACTTACTCACTAGCCTAAGTTGCCCATCACTGACCTAAACATAAGCAAGCAGAATAACTTGCCTTCAACTATGTACTGTCTCATACAACTGACTTCAGGATCTTAAGAAATGTAGGGCATTCATAGTCTGTTTTAGACAAGTCGCTTAAGAGGGGGAGGGAAAAAAACCAAACACTCACCTCTCTGAATCACTGTCATTCAGCAAGCCATTGGTCGGGACAGCGGTCAAGTGGTTGAAATCTTTGGAAGACCTACCACCAGTGTAGGATTTCTGTGAAGGTTTTTCACATCTAGAATCTTTCTGTGAAAAGCCTGAATATAAATTCCTTGCAGTTCCATGTTGGTGCATATTAGACTTTTTGGGGATATACATTAAGTCTTGAGAATCTTCAAAGTGATCACAAGCTGAAGTCTTGGCTTCATCAGTATCAGCCATTGATCTTTCAATTTGTTCTAAAATAAAAAAAACATGCACACACTTAGAAGAAAATACTGTTAAGGACAATCACCAGGTGGTTGTGTTTTTTTGAGAGCACTGGTACTACAATTAAGTTGCCTTGAGGACATTTCTTTATCCAAGAACCAATTCAGGAAAAACATGCCCATTCAAAAGGCTTGCTCAGTATCCTAGTTTTCTTCTTTTAACATCAAGCTATTTTGTATTACAGTTTAGGGATTCTGAAATTACATTTATTAACTTATTGAATAGTCAATATTTTCCATCAACCATTCAATTAGTCAATAAGAGTGCTTCCACTTTGAAAAGTAGCAAGAGCCCAGTAGGGGCTCTTGGTGCATTTCAAAGATTGAAAAGCTGCATAGAGCCTGGGCCCAACTGGGAGTCCTCCGCTGATCCGGAGCTCCATGCAGCACTTCCACTTTTAAATGTACAGGAGCCCCAGCAGAGACTCTTGTACATTTCAAAGGTGGAATACAGCCAGTGTGCCCTTGCCTCCCTCCCATGGAGATGGAGGGAACCGGCTTTTAAGCCAGCTCCCTCTCCTCTTCCCCACCCTTGCTGCCTCTGATAGTCAACTCGTGTGTCTAACTATCTGATAAGCTTTCGCTCATCATTAGTCCGTTAGTTGCTTACATCCCTATTACAGTTCAAAATCATCATCAGCTTTCGACTGTGAAGGGTATAATGCTTAATGGAGGTTATTTCACCTTCAGTCAAATAACTGCAACATTCATCTGAAGTGGGTTGTACCCATGGAAACTCACTGCTTTAAGGATGAACACATTGTATCATGAAACAAAAAACAGGACAATGTAGCACTTTAAAGACTAACAAGATGGTTTAATAGGTGATGAGCTTTCGTGGGCCAGACCCACTTCCTCAGATCAAATAGTGGAAGAAAATTGTCACAACCATATATACCAAAGAATACAAATTTAAAAAAATGAACACATGAAAAGGACAAACCAAATTTCAGAACAGAAGGGGAATGGAGGAGAGGAGGTGGGGGGGAAGGTAACATTGTATCATGTTCTTCATCCTTAAATAGAGCTGGACAGAGGCTAGATTTGACCTGATAACTAGCCTCTGCCCAGCTCTACATTTTTGTTGGTCTCTAAGCTCTATTTAAGGGTTTTGACCCTTGGGAAAAATCTATTTATTAGAAGGGAACCAGATAATAGAGGAGTTTGCAGTTGCCAGACACAAAAGACTCCCCTGCTTACTTCCAAGGTGACTGCTAGAAACACCTAAGATTGAACAGAGCGCCCAAACTAGAAGGCTGCCTGGCTTGTGAAAAAGATGATTAAAAATACTGTTAGAGTAAGAAACTGCATGTAACAAGTTTCATAGAGTATTAAACTTAGCTGGTGTGCTTTGTTTTATATAGCTTAGTAACTTACTTCAATCGATTGGATATCACTTGCAACCACTTAAAATTTACTTTTTATTTAAAAAAATCATTTTTAATTATTACTTGGGGTAGTACAACAGTTGTGCATCTCTCTCTTCCATTAATAAAGGGAATGAAAAACTTGTGTTAGTTCTGTATAAAACGTTTATGCAGAATACGATGGATTTTTTTGGAAGTCCTACTCCCATAGAGTCTGTGCATGCGGGTTTTGTGCAGGGATGTGAAAGTGTAACTGCATACATGGTTAATCAATAAGCTTAGGCTCATCAGTTAACCTTCACGGTTATATGCAGGTTCTCAGTACACACGGGGAGTTGGCTTAAACACTGGGTCCCTACTTGCACTGGCTCCCGAGGAGCTGACTGCCGCCCATGTGAAACTACTAAAATTTTCAGTTGCTTAATTAAAAGCATTTTAACATCCCTAGTCCCTGTGACTGAGTCATCCCAGAGCTGAGCTGCTCTGTAACTCCACCTCTGTGCTTTTTCTGGGCTAGATGGACCTTTGATCTGACCCCGTATGACTCAGCAGGACAAGGTGGTGTGGCACCCCAGAGGGCAGGTACACAGGCTCTGTGATGATCAACCCATCAGGTGACTGTCTCAAGGAGACCATTCTGACCAAACCTATCACAAAAAGAACAGTATTTTTCAAATCACCACATACAAGTACTGTAGTGCAATCTCTTTTTTGTAAAAATGTATCTTACGCTTTTTAGGGGTTACAAAACTGGACTAAAAAACAACATGTAACGAGCCTACAAATCCACACAATGTCACCTGAAAGTGAGAATAGGCATTTGCATGGTACTTCTGTAGCCAATGTTGCAAGGTATTTAAGTGCCATATATGCTAAACATTTGTATGCCCCTTCATGCTTTGGCCACCATTTCAGAGGACATAATTCCATATTGATGAAGCTCCTTACAAAAATGCCTTAATTAAATTTGTGCCTCAACTTCTTGGGGGAGAACTCTAGATCTCCTGTGTTGTTTTATCCACAGTCTGACATATATTACATGAGACAGAAATCTGGGATAATGACCCAACACATGCTTTAAGAATACTTTCACTGCAGATTTGACAAAAAACAATTAAAGTACCAATGCAAGACTTCTAAAAATAGCTATAGCACTCGACCTAAGGTTTAAGAATCTTAAATGCTGTCCAAAATCTGAAAGGGATGAGGTGTGAAAAGGCTTTAAGAAGTTAAGAGCAACACTCCAATGCAGAAACTATAGAATCCAAATGATCAAAAAAGAAAATCAGCCTTCTGTTGGTTGCAGTTTACTCCGATGATAAAAATGAACAGGCATTGGTCTGCTCTGGATCACTGAGTAAACCCCATCCGTAGCATGGATCCATGTACTCTGGAATGTTGGCTGAAGCATAAAGAAACATTCTCTAGAGCACATCTGGCATGTAAGTTGCAGCACTGACTATAATAGTTCTATTTAAATGCATATTCTTATTTTCATGCGACAATGTTAATGAGAAAGAAGCAGCACTATTTCCCACAAACATAACTAAATTATGTATCTGAGAGATTGGCTAAATAAGTAGTAAGATTCAATCGAGTTGTAGGTTCTAAAGTTTTAAATTTGTTTTATTTTTTAATGCAGTTTTTGTAAAAAAATTCTTCATTTGTAAGTTCAATTTTCATGATAAAGAGACTGCACTACAGTACTTATAGGATAAATGGACAAATATTTTTTATTTATTTACATTTTATTTTGATTACAAATATTTGCAAAATGAGCCCTGTACACTTTGAATTCTGTTCTAATTGAAGTCTGACAATGTAGAAATATCCAAAAATATGGAGCAGCTGGTTCTGGAACCCTCAAAAGGAGAGGTTCTTGATTTAGTCCTAAGTGGAGCACGGGATCTGGTCCAAGTAGTAAATATAACGGGTCCGTTTGAAAATAGTGACAATGTAATAAAATTTTACTTCCCTGTGGAGGGAAAAACAACACAGCAGCCCAACACCGAGGCATTTAATTTCAGAAAGGAAAACTACACAAAAATGAGGAGGTTAAATAGAAACTAAAAGGTACACCGCCAAAAGTAAAATCCCTGCAATCTGCACGGAAACTTTTCAAAGACCCTAAAATAGAGACCTAACTTAAATGTATACCCCAAAAAATAAAAACACAGTAAGAAAAAAAAAGTACCACTGTGGCTTAACCAAGTAAAAGAAGCAGCAAGAGATAAAGAGGCATTGTTTAAAAAGTAGAAGTTAAATCCTAGTGAGAAAGATAGTAAGGAGCATAGACTCTGTCAAATTAAGTGTAAAAATATTATAAGAAAAGCCAAAAAAGTATGAAGAACAGCTAGCCAAAAAAACTCAAAGTAACAACCAAATATTTTTTAAGAAAATCAGGAAGCCTGCTAAAGAACCAGTCGGGCCGCTGGATGATTGAAATGCTAAAGGAGCACTCAAAGTTGATAAGGTCATTACGGAGGAAACTAAACTAATTCTTGGCTTTGGTCTTCACAGCTGAGGATGTAAGAGAGATTTCCAAACCTGAACCATTCTTTCTGGTGACAAATCTGAGGAATTGTCCCAGACTGAGATGTCATTAGAGGTGGTTTTGGAATAAACTGATAAACTTAAGTCAGTGAGACCAGATGGAATTCACCCAACAGTTTGTAACCTATCCTTAAATCATCTTCTGTACCTAATGACTAGACGATAACTAATTTGATGCCAATATTTAAAAAGGGCTCTAGAGGCAATCCTGGCAATCTCAGACGAGTAAATTTAATGTCAGAACTGGGCAAATCAGTTCAAACTATAGGAAAGAATAGAATTGTCAGACACGTAGATGAACGTAATTTGTTGGGGGGAAAAGTCAACATTATTTTTGTAAAGGGAAATCATGCCTTACTAATTGACTAGAGTTCTTTGAGGGGATCAACAAGAATGTGGACAAGGGGGATCCAGTGGATATGGTGTACTTATTTCCAGAAAGCCTTTGACATGGTCCCTCACAAAAGGCTTGTAAGTAAAGTAAGTTGTCATGGGATGAGAGAGCAGGTCCTCATGGACTGATAACTAGTTAAAAGACAGGAAACAAAGGGTAGGAATAAATGGTCAGTTTTCAGAATGGACAGAGATAACTAGTGGTGTCCCCCATATGTTAGTACTGGGACCAATCCTATTTAACCTATTTATAAATCATCTGGAGAAAGGAGTAAACAGGTGGCTAAATTTGCAGAGGACACAAAACTGCTCAAGATAATTAAAAGTAAAGTAGATGGTTCAGCAACAAAATGGCAAATGAAATTTAATATTGATGAATGCAAAGTAACACACACTGGAAAAATAAACTAAACATACAAAATGATGGGGACAAATTTAGCTATAAGCACTCGAGAGAGATCTTGGGAGTCATTATGGATAGTTCTCTGAAAACATCCACTCAACATGCAGCGTCAGTCAAAAAAAAAAAAAAAAACCCAGAACATAAGGAATCATTAAAAAAAGGGACTGAGAATATTTTTATTGCCTCTGTATAAATCAGCGTACACCCATATAAGTCAGCGTACACCCATATCTTGAATACTGTGTGCAGATGCGGTCACCTTATCTAAAAAAAGATGTATTGGCAAACATTGGAAAGAGTTCAGAAAGGGGCAATAAAAATTATAAGTAGTATGGAAAACCTGTCAAATGACTGTTTTTGTTCACTCTCCCTGGAGCATTTGGCATTGGAAACTCTGAGAAGTCAGGATACTGGGCTAGATGGACCTTTGATCTGACCCAGTATAGCCATGCTTATATATGCCCTCATTAATAGTATAACTGATTCTGATTTGTTTTTTTTAATTGCTTGACAGCCCTATTTATCACAAAAGCCACTAAACCTGCCACTCTACACTGGCCTTTTTGACTCTGAGGTCACTAGTGGACAAGGAGTGCAAGGTAGTTAGGGCAGGTAGGAAGGTATGGAGGGGAGCACTCCCAAACGTTTGTTACAGACTAGCAGCCACACACAGCTTTACCCCATGACTCCGCCTCCACCTACCTCTCCGTCTCCTCTCAGGATCAGGGCTCAAAGGACAAGCAGACTCTGCAAATGGAGGGATGTGGAGGAGTTAGCGCCTTGCCTTCCCGTCAAGCGGGCTTCACACAGAGCCGGCCCAAGCCATTCTTGCAACCTCAGCCCCAGGCGCGCGGCTCATTCTTGCAACCTCAGCC